AAGGCTCAGAATAATTGCAATGCCGAATACAAAGGAAATTAATGAACATTTTGCAATTTTATTTGTTGCCAATCAGTAACGGTATTAATTGATTTATGTCCCTCTTTTGAAATTCTTATTTAGTCTTCATTTTGTCCTCTGCATACTATTTTGATTAATACCTGCTTTCTAGTGATACTGTTTAGTCTCTGGTGAATCTCTGGTGTTCTGTTCTTAGCCTACACACATTTGTGTTGATTTCTACATATTGATGTTGAAAGTTTTACAAAATCCATATCTTAAGGTAAGTTGTCTTTCTTTTTGAATCATATAGCAGAAGCTCAGTGAAGATTTTTAAATTTGTCTACAAACACTTAAAAGTGAAGATATTGGTTGTTAAAACTGAAAAATTCTTTTAATGTGTCCATTAAAAATGCTTCTGACAAATTTTTTTTTTCTATCAAGTTCTATGGTGAAAAATGTATTATGCTGAAGTGGGGTGCATATTGGGAAAAGTTTCATTGGTTTTTCCTTTTCCATTTCTTCGGAGTGAACTTCATCATGATATCCAAACTTGCAATTTTATTATAGAGATATCTTGTATGAGATGTGGATTTTTATGCAAAAGACTAGAGAGATAGGATTTTTTTATATATATACTACTGTTTACCCAATATAAAGCTCAAGAGCCACTCAAAGTAGTGTCACTGTGTGGTGTTACATAAGCATAAGAAAAGGCAAGAAGTGAACTTCATGGAATTATGTAGGAGAGGTAACATTTAACCTGAAACTTGAAGAGGTCAAGATTGTAGTGAGTGGGAGTCTGCTCCACAAAGCAGCAGTTCTTGGGAAGAAGCTGTCTGAGTGCATGGGTGGTGGTTGGTCTAAGAAATGTAGCTTGTCCAAACACATGCTATGGAAATAGTGAGAGAGTAGCAAGAGACCTGCAATGTTTCATCTGTGGGGGAAGGAGTTGTAGGGTGGAAGATAATCATCCACAAATCCACATAGACACTTTTGATCTCAAGACAGGCAATTGTGAACTGGGCAGTTCCAGCCCAGATATGGCCATAATTCTCCATTTTTGGTCTGATCTGGTTCTTGCAAAGATAGGATATAGTAGAGAAATCAGATACTTACTGGAGCAATACAATGAACTGACCATTTTTCTAGCATCTTTAGCAACAAATCTGATATTTGATTTCTACCTGAGGTCTGAGGAGAGTCTGAATTCCAAGAGATGCTCAAAGTAGAGTGTCCTTGAGAAAACACCTATACATCATGAAAAGTTCAGGGTCTGTTTGGTAGTGGTGGAATGTTACTAGTTTGGTTTTGGATGTATTGAATTTTACAAGACAGTCCTTTCCTCATTGAGCTGCCCAGGCTGAGTCAGAGGAGAGATAGGTTGCTAGTGAAATTACAAACAATATTGTATATATAACAACATTTTATTGCCTTTGCAGAACTAAAAAGGAAGGATATAAAAAGGGATAAATGGATGTGTATATATATAAATGTCCTTATTTGTACATAGTGTGTGTAATGACCTATTGAACATGATGAGAAACATACATTGGAGAAGATTTACTTGTTGATTTGTTATAGTTACCAGTTTAGGGCATTTGCATTGCTGTATTGTTTTTATGTGACACATGGTCAACTAGGGACTATGAAATCCCCTAGAGAGGAAATGAGATATGTCTTGTTGCTATGGCATTCTATAGGTAAAGAAAAAGCAAAAAGAAAAATTTGATTCTACTCATCCTCTGATTAACTAATCCATGCAGTCCCTAATCAATCAAGTCCTAATGTTTCAACTGTCTCTGCCTCTATGCTGCCCTACATTTATAAATACCAGAAATCTAGAGTTGAAACCAACTTCAGGTGGCCAACCCTTCAACATGAACCTCAGTGTCAAAGCTGTGGCAAGCAACCCCGTACGAGAGCACTGTAAGACTGCACTGATGTCACCCTTGTCTATATGCCCTACAGACAAGACTGACAGCTAAAATTCATCTCTTGTTGAATTTGAATCTGAGCTCTGATAATCAGATGCCTTCCACATATACCACATAAGAAATGAGAAGTGAATAAGAGTTTGAAAACTGTTCTTTATTGTCATCTTATGCTAACTGCTGATTAGGCTGTCAGTAATAGATTTGTTTTAGCTGGCCTTAACCATAGTATCAAATATTGATATCATGTCAATGATGTATTACCTTCTAAAATTTCTTAGAATTGAGATTCTACACTGTGCAGGATGTTCCAAAAGTCACACAACAGTTGGCAGAAAACATACACTTGTAAAATAGCAACCAGGGAAAATTTGTATGACATCATCTTCCATAATTCGACCAATACAATTTCTTAACGTATTGTCATATACAGAAACATGATCCCATTTGGTAAATAAATATAAAATTTACAAGGTTAACAATGGTAATGTGACTTTTGGAATACCTTGTACACTGAGATGTATTGCTATGAAAAAAGAGAAAAGATATATTTGACGCTTTGAATAAAACAAATTATACATTGGCAAAGAAAAGAAAATTGTTATTTAGTTTATTTTTTAATATTTAATTTCTGTGTGTAATGAGAATTTAAAAACTTTGTAATTACTGCATTTAGAGACCCTGTAATTTCAGTTTCAATGGGAATTTAAAGATCCTACAAATCATTTAAACACTTTCAACAACAACAACAACAGAAATGACTAGTACAAAGAGGAGAAAATAGTTAACTTTCCACATTTAGAAAAACAAAAAAGTTTGGAAGGAAGCTCGCATCAATAATAGAAAGAGCAGCAATGGTGAACTTGAGAAATCTAATTTGCTGAAAAAAAATTGTTTTTAAAACATTTTATAAAATTCGACCAACAGTAACATTGTTTGGTCAATGAATGCTGAATGTTTCCTGTATAGAAATAGTAAATATCACAATTACCATAATTTCAGTATATGACATGAATTTAGAGATCCTATAATTTCAGTGTATGATGTGAATCTAGAAACCTTATAATTTTAGTGTATGGCATGATTATGAGACCCGTATAATTTCATGTATATTGGGAACTTTTAAGAGACTATAATTTCAGTGTATGATAGGAATTGAGACCCTATAATTTCATTGTATGATGTCAACTTAGAGATCCTATAATTTTAGTGTATGATAGGAATTTATAGGCAGTATGACCTCATTATGCGAATTTAGAGACCCTTATAATTTCAGTGTATGACTGAAATTTGAAGACCCTATAATTTCAGTATACAATCAGAATTTAAAGACTTTGTAATTTCAGTGTAGGATGGGATTTTAGACACCCTATAATTTAAGTGTATGATGGGAATTTAGAGAGCCTATAATGTCTGTGTAAATGTAGAGATCCTATAATTTCAGTATATGATGAGAATCTAGAGACCCTATAATTTCAGTGGATGATAGAACATTTAAGAGCCTATAATTTCAGTATATGATGTTAATTTAGAGACCCTATGATTTCAGAGTATGATGAAAATTTTAAAACACTAATTTCAGTGTATGATGTGAATATAGAGACCCCTATAATTCAAATGTATGTTGTTAGAGACCCTATGATTTCAGTATATTATGGAAATTTTAAGAGCTTATAATTTCAGTGTATGATAGAAACTTTGAGACTCTATAAATATTATGAGAATGAAAACTATAATTTCAGTGAATGATGGGAATTTAGTGGTCCTGTAATTTTAGTATATGATGGAAATTTAAGATCTTATAAGTTCAGTATATGATGATAATTTTAAGAGCTTATAATTTTAGTGTATGATTGGAATTTAGAGACCCTATGATTTCAGTGTATTATGTCAGTGTTTGATGTGAACATAGAGAGCCATATAATTTCAGTGCATTATGTGAATTTAGAGACTATAATTTCAGTTTATGATGAGAATTTATAATTTTACTGTATGATGGAAATTTTAGATCTTATAATTTCAGTATATGATGGAAATATTTAAAGATCCTATAATTTCAGTGTATAATGGAAATTTGAAGAGCCTATAATTTTAGTATATGATGTGAATTTAGAGACTATAATTTCAGTGTATAATGGGGATTTGAAAGCTTATAATTTCAGTATATAGTCAGAATTCTGAAACCCTATAATTTCAGTGTACAATGTGAATTTAGAGACCCTATAATTTCAGTTATGGTGGGAATTTGAAGAGTCTATAATTTCAGTGTATGAGCTTAGTCTACCCAGCTATTTAGCCCATAGCTGGTGGGAGATAGATTCAGATAGATTACAAGGGAATTAGTGTTTTGAACAAATTGTGATGCATTTTAACAATTTTGAGTTGATGTATTTAAAATTAAAATAATCTAGTGGAATCCTTATTTTAATATCCTTGGTTTAGTTTTTTGTTATGTTTAAAATGTTCTGGAGTATCTGGAAAACATTTTTAAGCATCCATAGTATGTAAACTATTTAAAACAAAGGAAGCCAAACATATTTTTTGTTGGCATAAAAAATTATCAGGATACTAACTTTCAGCTTCATATTTTTTTAAGCATCAAAGTTACCAAAATTAACAAAACCATAATACTGGTATGACAAGCTGTACTGTAAAAATATGTAAAATGCATACACCTGTATGCATGTCTGTGCACAGAGGAGAATTCCCCTCCCACCACCAAAATAATCAAACACAAACAAGCATAAATAGATTCAATTTAAAAAAAAAAATAAACCAGTTTGTCTGATGATTGCAAAAGTGTGAAACCCAGGGTCACAAACTCATATTCATACAACTGATACATACATACATACATACATACATACATATATATATATATATATATATATATATATATATAAAAAAGGGAAATAATTATTAAATCAATAAAAATTTCTGGGAAATAAATCTATGACTACTTATGAATTTTACAGATGTTTTTATGAAAGTTATTTCAAACTCTTAATTAGATTTTGTCATATCATCCATCTTAAAAACTTGAAGTAATGAATTTTTCTTTTTTAGCTACTGCAAGAAATTCAAGTCTTTTGACTCTACTCAAAGACCTGCTGAACCATCCAGACAACGCCAGACATCTGCTGTTACCCCATACCACACAACATTAGTCCAGCCTCTCATGTCAGGACAACATGTGAATGGAGTGTCTGAAACGAACAAGTAAACATAATTTTTGTTTTTTCTATTTTCTCAGGAAGAAAAATGCTGTCCACAAAAAGTTACTTGTGCCATTTTTTTTTCATATTTTATTTTTATTTACTATATGCATCAGATTCAAAATGGTGGTTAGAATTTGCCCAATAAAATTCTTTAATTAGATCTCTTCATTCAGACAGCAGCATGTTAATTTGCACTTATGCACAACGTGGATGCATTTCCTATATACATTGTGTATGTATTCAAATATTTGTAAGTACATGTATTTTGATGATTGCATGTGAATGCATAGTTACATGTTTATTGTATAACGTGCATATATTTTTATATATATATGGTGAATGCAAAAAATAGATATATTTGTGTGTAGTTGTGGATGTATAATATACATCTAGTTTTTTTTGTTTTTTTTAAGTGTGCACATTATACAGGTTGGGTAGAAAGAAACTTCCTATGTAAAATTGTTAATAATTTTATAAATTATTTGTTGAATTTTATAAAAACAAGTTTTATTTTGAACAGTATAATGATAGAAGTACAGTACATTGTTAAAATTCTACAATTTGCCCATTTTCTTTCAATCTGGATGTTGAAGGACGACTTCTTCTGTGGGTATTTACCACAAATCCCATACTCATCAGCTTGGAATAACAATTTTTGATGGTTTTGGCATCTGCTGAAACATGAGGTCTATAAACACTGCACCACCATTTTTACACTTGTATCATGGGCTGCCACCTTTAGCAACAGGATGCCAGCTGAGCATGCTCAGTGTCAGGCATTATGCCATTCTGGGCTACACTTGTCACTTTGAAATGAAGATGGAAATTAGCAATGAAATTCTTTAGGGATCACAATATATTCTGTTTCATGCAAATGAAGTGATATTAACAAGAGTAATAAGTAATTTTCAATAAAGATTTTCTTTCCACCCATCCTCTAGATACACAGGTCTCCATATGCATGCACCTATGTTTATTTCTCTTAAAGTATTGATGCTAAATAGTGGTATTTCAATTGGCATCCATTTTGGCATGTATGTATATCAAAGCAATATGTATAAAATAATTACATATTTGTTGCAAAAAATTAGGAAGTTCTCAATGTTTGAAAAAGTTAAATGTTCTGACAAATTAAGAAAATTTTTAATTTTTACTTAATTTGATGTATTTAAATCCATGTATGTATGTGTGTGTATATATATATATATATATATATATATATATATATATATATATATATATATAAAATGTTGCTGCTGACACTGGAGTTTGAACACATATGACGAGAGAGCAAACACAAGCGATCCCATTTTAAATAAGTAGATCACGTGATGGTAAAGGAAATGTATATATGGGAATTAGCATGGTGTCTAAGTGATCACTATACAAATTACTATTCAGATCACTATTCAGTAGTTACTTTTTGAGCGAGTATTATCGAGTAAGTACTATTAGTGCAAGTGATATTCAAGGGCGTCTGACACCAGCATTGTTCAACGGCGTACTATAGTTGTATCTGTGATTACAAAGACTCTACTACAACAAGCATTATGAAAGTGACAATGAGTATTTGTTGACATTACAATAGTGGCAATGAGTGTTCATTGACATCACAAAAATATATATAGAATTAATTAATACATATATAATATTTGTCACTTAGCTGATTGATGTTGTTTTCAGCATCTCAACTCGATAGTCTGTTTATTACATTTATATTGAGTTAAAAAATAATTTATGCATGTTTTTATTAGTGCAAAGTCAATTTTTTTCTTCTTTTATCATGTGTGTCAGTGTGTACATGTGTCTATGTGTAATATTTCATGGTTATTTTGCCTCTTTTTGTTTTTTGTCTCTTTATATTTTTTGTCTCTTTATATTCTCCTTTTATTGGTTTTATAATCTTTTCACACCATGCAAGGTAATGATGACTCTAGGACACAAGGGGAATACTGGGAGTGAAAGAGAAGGAGAAGACTTTAGTGAGGAGAAAGGGCAATAAAAGAACTGTATATGCCCCTACACACAGATATATATAGGGTGCGATGGATAAATTGTCGCCATTATATATTTTTTTAAATTTTGTGCATGTTTTTGATTTTGTCATTTGCACAATATATTAGGGTCAGTTAGGCACCATCTGTGAATAAAAGATCACCATGATGCAATTCACTCTGCCATAAATTTGGAAACACCATGCTGTACTGCTTGGTATTCATGCCAGAAGCTGCAATACGAACATTTCAGAGTGTTTGGGTGTCAATCTGAGGATAGTGCAAAGGATTCGGAAAGAGTTGGATGAGTCTAATGGTGATTACAAAGGTACTACAGCTCTGATAAGAAATGAACTCTCGACTTTGTTGGTAGGGCCTCAGACTCAACATGGAGGCCTACATCAAGTGCCTTGAAGAGGTAGTGCTGCCCTGGGTTAAGAGGGTGGCTGCTGGAAGACCCTATGTCTGGCAACTCAAGCAGGAGAACCTATGATTCCAATGCTTGTATCATGGATGTGACTGTTTGTATGATATATATATATATATATATATATATATATGTGTGTGTGTGTTCTGAAAATTATATCATTGTTCCTTATTCCAAGATGCTGCTGTAAAAGTTTCATGAACTGAAGGCAATCATCAGCATTCAAAAGAAAAGTTTCTGCCTGAATTATTGTCTTTGCATTAAGGTATGAATAAATATCATTTTTTAAATGTATATCTTACCTCTGTTCTTTTACATAAACTACATTTTTTACTCTCATCATTCATTATGCATATATATATATATATATATATATATATATATATATATGAGAGAGAGAGAAGAAGGGTAGATGGGACTCAAAGCATTTTGGGAACACATGGTCATTTTAAAACTATCCTTTCACACAGTACAGAGGCTGGACATATATATACATATACATATATATATATATATATATATATATATATATGTGTGTGTGTGTATGAAAATACACATTTACACACAGATAAAAAATCAACTGAACATCAATAAAAAAGCACGAAAATCAGAAAATCAGCAGGATATGCTGATACCACCTGATAGTGGATTGACCAAATGATTACAAAAAATGTTTTGTCTAAAAAAATTTTTTTTTTTTTTTTTTGAATACAATATCTATCAGCTGAAGTGACAAATTTTATAGTTGCATTCATCCCCCATATATATATATATATATATATATATATATATATATATTTTTTTTATTTTTTTCTGTCCAGCTTTGGATAAATAGCAGGACAGACTGGGTTCTATAGCCTTGGATGGCAACTGATCTAGAAGAAGGACAACTGTGAATTCAAAACCTGCAGATGGTTGATTGGGGACCTTGTGGCACCAGGTCTCTGTATTGGGCCCTTCAAAAAGTGTGGTTGGTTCTGCACAAAGCCTTTACCACTATAATCAAATCATATGTGCTGGTGTCTGGGCTGTCAGTTTCTAGGAACTGATTTAATATGACCCCATACATTGAATACAATGAGAGAGTTCACCATATATATATATATATGTGTGTGTGTCAGTTTTAAACAAAAAATATATATATATATATATAGGATATACGTACATACATGAAAAATTGTACATACATATTATTTCTTCCACAGGTGTTATAAATACAGTTCTCAATGTTATGAGAAAGAGCTATAAGCATATATTAGTGTAAATACAATCTGACCGTTATTTCATGTTTCACCTGAAGATTTCAGCAACTGCATGAAACTTTGAGTCGTGGTTTCGATGTTGGATATTATGTATATTCAGGAAATATATATTATATATAATATATATATATATATATATATATATGACAGGTAGAAAAAGATTTGAACATTTTAAAATATTATTCAGTAAGTATCATATGAATAGTAAATATATACCAAACAATACAGTTGAGAAAATTTTTTTTTTGCACCATCTTACAAATGTTTATTGTGACCTTTGTGTCATCAAGTACATATCAATTTTACAACTAAACCTTTTTGTCTTACCATTGATACCAAACACAACAGTCACAAAGAATTGTTTTATATTTCTGTGATTGCATGGAACAATAGGTTGTTGACATTAACAGCTATTTCCTTAACAACAAAGGGATTAAATCACACTCTCTGTCTATGTATGTATATGAGGGAGTGCTGAAAATTTCCCAGTCTCACCAAGAAAACTTCCGTCCCCACAAAAATTATGATATTTGGTTGTTTAAACAGATTTGGGGAGGGGAGTTAAATCAAGAACCTTTTTATATTTGTATATATTTCTGAGATGAGGCATTGTAACTATTTTCCCCATTTATATTTTTCAGACTATTGTTTTAATCTTTGCCATATTCATGACTTTTCAGCTGTTGTACTCTGGCTTTCTTCAGGTGGTATATGTTGGAATTTAAAACTGAACACTTTATTTCATCCACCAAGAATAAAATTGATAGTGGAAAAAAATTGTTGGTTGAAGAAATTCAATGACTTGACAGGAAAAGAGTTGTCAAGTTCAATACCTGTCCACTGTGGAGGTGAACAAAAACTGGGAGAGTTGAGTTACTAAAGGGAAGTAACTAAAGAGAAGATATCCAGAAGAGGCATGGCATGTGGAACATGAACAAATGTGTTTGGTTCAAAATTTGAATGTATATCACCTGAAGAAGGCTGGAGTGTACAACAGCCGAAATGTTGTGAATATGTCAATAAAGATGCGGACAATAGTTAGAACAATGTAAATAGTGTAAACAAGGACTTTTTATTGCTTCATTGTATATATATATATCAGGTCATCTCATAAGTTCTGTCCGAATTTTGAATAAAGAAAACAAGTGACCAAATGTTACATTTAATTACAGATTCAATCAACAATGTATTTTCCCTGATTATCTATGACTTACTTCCATCTATTAACAAGCTTACTAATTCCATTACTGTAAAATTCTTTTGGCTTTAATTCAAAGAACTCACAAATGTCAGTTTTAACCTCTTCCTGTGTTACAAA